TTAGTTGCAAGTAGTCCTGTAGCATAGAAACACGGACTCACTGAGTATTCATGTACAATTATACGCCAGCCAGCACTGTAAATTCCCATTTCGTAGTTGCGTTACTAGAAAACCGCGGCGAAAAAGGTAGCAGACAGCCGATAGTGGAACTGCTGGAGGTCGGGGAATGGCAAAGGAAGGAGGGAGATAACGGAGTTGGAGCGGTGACATGCTGCATACCCTAGATAGTAAGCATAAGCCACTGTATTAACACGCACCTGAGGGCCAAGGCTGTAGCTACTTGAAAGTAAACCCCTTCGGAAACTATGGCAAGCGTTAACTATTAGACTCGCGGCGCCAGTTCCGTTCGGTCGCCACCTATTTCAAATAAATTTGAGATGCGCTTTTGATGCGCTTTGACAGCTCAGTTGGCTCCCGAAGCATAGAGGCAAAGACGGAGTTGCAAGATCCTGAAATTACCGAAGACCGAATGAAGTGTCGCCGCAACTTCGAATCCATCGAGTTTGGACATTTACCATTTGTTTACCACATTACCAATTACCAATAATTGGTGACCATTCTGCAGAAACTTCGAGACCAGCAAGATATACTTGCCAGTCTAGTACTGTACTTATTCTACGATAATACGCCAAAGTTTTGCCACCATTCTCCATGAGGATTCCTCTATGCTCTATGCCTTCTTGGTCTCGGGATTGTCCCAGTGCGATGGTGAGCGGACAGTTTTCTTCACTACGCAACTTTGAATCCACTGAGTTTGAACCTTTACCAAATATTACCAACAATTGAAAACCACCTCTCTTTTACCGCTAGCCATTCTGCGGAAGCTTCAAAACCAGCAAGATTTGTAAAATTGCCTGTCTAGTACTTATTCTACGCCAAAGTTTCACCTGACCTTGTGCTATGCCTTCTTGATCTTGGATTATCCCAATGCGATGGTGAGCGGACAGTTTTTCTCTCTATGGCCCAAGTTCCATATGTTGAATACCAATGAGCCTAATGCCGCAGGGCCGACCTACTCATCAATGTACTATGTTCAACGCCATACTGCCAAGCCTGTCTATACAGTTTTACCTGAGCTTGCGATTCTGTCCTCTCTGACCTATGCCCAACGTGAAGGTGAGCGGCCAATTCCAATTCAAATCTTCCTCTTGGCCCAAATAAAAAACATCGGAGATCTCACCTGGTAGCTAGTATAAAATACCACCTTTTACGAACTTCAGAGTCGAACTCAACAGTTCACTGACAACGAGTTACAGAAAACATGCAGCTTAAATTCGCCTCTTTGCTCTCATTCGCTCTCCTGGCAATTTTTGCCTCAGGGACTCCAGTCCCTGAACCAGACCCTGCCAGCTTGGCAGATGGAGCTTACATGTTTCGTCGTAGCAGCACTGGGTCCGGACTAGTCATCACTCCCCTCGATTTGGCTACAATTGGCCATGGTGGATTGAACGTTACCACCGAAAACAAGCCCAAAGCTCGAGATATATCCCTGGCGAAACGGGACAGCATTGCCTGTTTTCAAGCCTCGGTTAATGGTGCAGACAAGGGTACTGCCGTCGGTGTTGTTGCGAACATTTTAACCAGCTTCCCTGTGGTTCCTGCCAATACTGGTATCGGTGTTGTCATCGGTATGTACATCTTGCACATGCGGTTTGTAAAACGACTCATACTCACATTTTTGTACTTACAGGGAATTCCATTGCATATGTGTGCAACAATGCCGGAGCCGCTCAGGCTGCGTAACTCTGCAGGATTCATCTATGACGGATAATGATATTAACAATGCATGTGGCTCTAGTACGGCCGGTCGTTATGATTTCAATAGTAAGTAGTTGACGATTCTAACCCATGCAAGTCCTCACAGTTGTTTGATAGGTGGAATCGAGTTTGGACGTACTGCCAATGGAAAGCCCTTCTGCGATGGTAGTTGAAGGATAGCAATGATGATTTCGAGTCTTTATTTGTCAATGGGGAGGCTCGAATTAATTACTTACTTTATCAAGTTGTAAGAATGAATTTGAAATATTTGTGTACACACCGTTGAATGGACTAGCGCCATCCTTAAAGCTCCTTTGAATACGGGCAAGACTACATAAGTAGTATTGATCATAAGTCCAGTTTTCCAAAGACCAAATTAGACAGCGAAGATCTGTCAGGAAAGCAGTCTTCTTCACCAATCTCAAGGTCCAAGTCAAAGATGTATATACATATTTCCGGCTTCCAATAGACATTCGCACCAAAATCCACCCATGTCCTTCCCCATGCCTACCTAATCATAAATACTGCAGTACACATCGAAATGCCAAAGAAAAAAAGTATCATAACTGGCAGAATGAGAATGAGGCTCAAGAGCTGAGGAATGCACTGCGAGTGAAGTAGAGACCACTCCTGCTCGTCCAGAGAATCCGGGCATGGAGTCATGTCCCACATCCCGGGCCAAAAGTCTCGGACATGTCGTGACTTGGGAGCAGCGCTGAAGCATAGTAATATAAGTATGTCTATAGGAGGGTTATCCTAGCTGAAAAAGCATTAGTGTATTCGTCATCAAGAATCATAATGACATGCACCTTGCAAACCTTCACTGAGAGCTTCATATAGGGTTGTCATCTCCAGTCTAAAGTCAACGAGGTTGAGAGCATCCAAGAATCGAGCGGATACCATGGGATGGGTACGAGACACAAGATTCAATAAAACACCTTAGATAGCAAGCCAAACGAGTATATCACTGCAACCGTTCGGAATGAATGCAGCTACCTGGAAGCAAAACCCTTCAGAAAATGAGTCTGAGGATTGAGCAGCAGTCATTGTCATCAGCATCCCCCCTTGTGCAGAATTCCGGGATCATGGATGCAAACGGTAAAGTCCAAAATCCAGACGGATGGATAATAGAGGAAGGCGATAGATGGATTCAAGGACGAGTAGGAAATAAGATGGAGGATTTTGCTGAAATACAATGACAGCGAACCCGCCACAGAATTATACTTAACGCCGAATGAGAACGTCCGCCGTTGCGCTCCATGGTCTGTTTCTCGAATATCCATTGGCGTTTCCGGTCCATTTCCGCTCCCTCCGGCTCGCAAGTCTCGAGGTTGCATGGATACACCTCTATAGATGATCGCAAGCATTTGAAGTGTCCGGTGAAAGTGACGTCTCTAGTTGCGACTCTCGATCCTGGGCAGCCTGAAATTATACTCTCTTTATATTTCTTAATCAAGCACTTTATCATGAACATCGCCTTTGGTATGCCAGTTACTGTATGAAAACATAGAATATATGTAGGCGCATATTTCTCAGTATCCATGAAGTTAGTGAGAACAATAAGTAGATGTGCCTCCGTAGTTTCCCTTTACCTATTTAATACTTTCCAGCCATCATCACTGACAGCAACAATAGGAGCAACTGTCCGAATCCATGGCAGAAGTCGAGGTAGGGCTGGTTGTTTTAAAAAGGCTTGAAGTAGCCTGTAGGTCTGTGATGAGTTTTTGGTCAGACGCGACAGAGACCATTCGTCGGAGTGTGAAGAGTCATCCTAGTTGAAAAAGCATTAGCGAATTCGTAACGAAGAATCATAACGACAAAACACACCTGCTCTTTGCTAGCATGCATTGAGAGCTTTGTCTAGGATCATTCGTTTCCAATCTGCGGTCGCCATTCCGAGCATGGAATTGGTGACAGCTCTGACGGTATACACTGAAGGCGAAGAAAATACTACCGAAAAGACGCAAGGTGCATTCAAGAATCGAGTGGATGCCATGGGATGGATACGAGACAGAAGATTCAACGAAACACTACATAAGCCATGAGTATCACCGCAATGACTCGGAATGAATGACGTACCTGAGAGCCAAGGTGAAAGTAGACCCCTTCGGAGCTGCTACCAATGCCACATAGAAATCTCCTGTTCCCTCTCTGACCGTCATCGATATCTCCATTGGGTCCTGGGATGTGGTAAAGGCGTCGATGCGTCTCCGCCGTGTAACAACTTTCAATCTGGACTCGAAATGTTCGCCACGACCGCCAGCACTGAGCACAGAGTGAGCGACAACTTTCGACATCGAGATGACATCGTTGTTACCATCAGCATCTCCGTCGTCAAGATTCCAGATTCCAGGTGAAATGCATGATCATAGACGCGAGCAGTAACGTCCGAAATTGCTTGTAACAAGTGCGAGCAGGCGGGTGGATGATAGAGGAGGAGGAAGACGCAATTTTGATTTCGACACTAGTAGGATCGTTCTTCCAAGACGATACTCGGTGGATATGCCGTGATACTGTTATGACTGCAAGATACATCATAGCCATCTTCAAGGAATCCTAGACTGTATGCAAACGAAAAGAATGCGTCAGCGAATTCAAGGCTAGAGTCAGAATGACACAACGCGCCCAACGCACCTGCCGCTGCAAGCCAGTCGCTCTCTTCACTTTCTTCGAGTCGCTTTGGCAGGGAGGCATCAGTCGCTGATAACCGAGCTTGACCAGATGTATAGACTGAACGGACAGGACGGAAACTGGAGAGCAAGACCAACATTGGCACCGAGATCCACTTTCTCTAGAGTTTAGAGTCCAGATTCATGGAATGGTACAAGTGGAAGAACGCGACATGTATCGTTGTATTTTGATCAAGTGCAAGCGATTTGAGGACGAGTAAGGTGGAGGATTCAGCTGAAACGAAACGTAACGTTGGTGGGTTCGCTCCTAGAATCATAACGCGGAATAAGAACACGCACATGCAGGCGCTCCATGCTCCGCTTCCCCAACATCCAGCGTCTTGCTTCCTCCGACTCTCAAAAAGATCGAGGATGCGGGTTACACGTAGAATAATACACTCTTGGTAGCGCTAACCCTTCCATTGCATCTAGCGAAAGCGTCGTCTCTAGTTTATCTCCACTGCAACTCTCGATCCTGGGGTAGCCGGTGATTATGCTCTCTTCCATGCTGGAGGAGGTGATGGTCAATGAATGGGCACATGATGGTGGCTGGACAACAAAAAATCACTGGAATCCAATGTGGTGTAGTGGCTAACATTGCTGTCTTTCATCGTAAATTATAAAGCACAGCAGCCCGGGGTTCGATTCCCCGCATTGGAAGTTAGTAAGCTGTCATCAAGAGGGTGCCTTTTTGTCTTTTGGCTCTTTCACCACTGACGGCCATCCTCGATAGATTTGCGCTGAAAATCACTCCACTGACATCCTCGAATCATACCAAGTTCAACGGAACGATACGTTTCCAAAAGGTACCTCGTGTCTGCCAGCCCCAGGGTTCCTCATTTCGTTATGCTCCTCCAAGTCTCCTTCAAAACTTATATCTGCCGCTATGCAGTTCAGCGCTCAGGTTTGGCTCAGGTTGAAACAAACAGGATAGCCTGAGACTGTAATTTCGACTTCGCCTTCGAATTTTCCCATTCATGCAAGTTCGCCGATTCGGTGGATGAGGAATGAGAGGTTGAAGCGGAAGAATGAAAGTCACCACGGAAACTCCGTTATCAAGGTATGTTCTTTTCTGCGACGTCGATAACCTTGTTCCACTAGGGACCCTGTTTGGGGCTAGTTGAACTAGTCTTCATCTCATACTATGTATGTGTGGCCGACGGAGCGTCTTAATTTTCGTCCAGTATCATCTGACCGAGTCTATAAGATACTTCAGTCAGCACTGGAACAACCGCTACGTTGCTTACTATTTGATATTTGTCTTGCTGCCTTTGCGTCAACTGCTCGCGCAGAGGAATCGCTCCCGGGCCGTCTACAAATTCGCCCTCAACTTCCACAGCGTAGCTTCCTTATTCGGTCGAGCAATGATTATAGTAATGGACCTCCCACTCCAATATGCCCTGGGGACCATTTTCGGATGATCCTATTGTCAGCGGGTGTTGTTTTCTGCGACGATGTAACTAACTCAGATTTGTTTGCAGCTAGTCGAACCAGTTTTCATCTCGTACTGTGCATGTGCGGCGTTCTGCGCCGGAACGTTTACTTCTTCGTCCAGTATCTTCTGACCGATAGAGATATGTCGGACTTCTGGATGCCCTCTCAGGCTGGGACGACCACGCTCGTCGCTATGCGACCACTACGTCTGGCACAAAACCGACTGTTTCTTACTATCGGTCTTGTTGCCGCTCGCTCAAAGGAAATTCTCCGTCTACAAATTCGCCATACTGTCGGGCCTTGGTTATTGAAACTCGACACTTTCATTAATGGCAGGCAATGGCCCTCCCACTCCAATAGCTTAGCACATGTCCTGAGGGCCATTTTCGGATGATTCTGAAGACTTGACTACCAGTAAGTCATGCTACTCTTTAGGTAAGGGCACATGCGCCCGTTTTTTCCGAATATCATGAGCGATGGAGTTGGAGATGCCTCCTCATCATCATGTGGAACATTATGATGTTAATCTGGACGAAGTTTCCCTTCGTAGTGATATTTTTCCTGTTTCTAACAATAGTCAGATGCGCCGGTCAAAGCTGGAAATCACAAGCCTGAAGGCATCGGATGTGCTCAATGGTACGTCAATTTCGGCTGCAGCATAATTTTGCCCAAGTTCTCCCATATGAATTCATTGCAATACCACATGAGGTTCCTGAATGACGCGCAGCCTTGATAGCTGCAGAATAGAGTTAAAATAAGCATGAGAATCGAGAAGACGATCCGGAAAGAAGCTATTGCGGCCCGCCCTGAATTATCAATCTCTATTCCTCAAGCCAATGGGTGTCATTCAGAAGGTAAGTCCGTGGTACTATGGCCTGGAGGAAGCGTTAGGTCGCGGGACCACGCTATCTGAGTAGATTGAACAGGATTGCAACCTTGAAACACAGCGATTCAGAATGCGTCGCCGCCCTAATTAAAGTATTTCCAGATCTCCGAACCTCTCCTCGTTGCCTGAGGTTCAGGGTTTGTAGCGTTTGGTTTGGTCTACGCGTACCCTGGTAGGGATACTATGGTTCTTTCTGATTAAAATCACGTCGGGTATAATCGGTTGTTATAACCATCGCCCTGCCCTCTCCTCCGAATATCGCATCTCTAGATTTCTGAGGCCTATGTAGTTAGAGAGGGTTAGAGACTTATTTACGGTAGGTGCCATTTCTTCATACTTATTCTTGTTCTACTGATAGGAGAAGTATATGTTCTATATTTTTGGGACCATCGAATGATCCACTCCAACTTGAGTTCTCCCAGTTCTTCCAGGACCCGGTGTCCAACACGACGGGCCGTAGCTCTGTTTCTTTCTCTCATGGCAACAGTCTCTTTCGTCCAGATCGAAAAACGGCCCGCCTAAATTGGCCAAGGTTCACTCGAAATTTATCCAGGGCAAAATCTTTTCATATAAGTAAGATGACCACGTCCTCAAGCATGTATCGTAACGAGATATGCTGTCTCTTCACGCTGCCGGCGCGTTTTTACTGCTAGTAGGCCTTCAGGTCCAGAGAGCTTTTGCTTTCATCGAGTGTAGCGTTCTCGATTACGGTAAGTAGGCTGCTCTTCCTCCTATTTACATTAATCCTAATTACTTCGCTTTATTCTAGGTGCTGTTGCAGACAACTCCACCGATCTTGGGCCTGCATTGACCAAAGCATGGCAAGAGTGTGTCATACCTCAAGTAACTACTACTGTCGCCGACAATGTGCTCCTCTATGTTCCCGCCGGAGACTACTTGCTTGCGTAAGTTTTTAGGGTTCTCTCTCTTTTAGAACTATCCTTGACCGAACTTTGGTGTGTTTTCCTAGGTCCACCGTGACGTTTGATGACGCTGCAAATTGGAATATCCACATAGCTGGAAATATCTACCTGCCATTCAACCCGGATTTGAGCGGAACCATGTTCACCTTTGAGGTGAGTACTTTCATTTACGTACCGCAGCGTTCACTCATATCCCACTTTTTTTAGAATTGTGAAAATATCCTTTTCAATGGACCAGGTGCTATTTTTGGTGAGGACTTATCCGGGATTCAAAGCTAGGAGGGGAGATACCAACTCTCTACTTTCCAGGTAATGGTTGGTGGTACCGACCAGATGGGGATGTACGCTTAAACATTCGATTTTTCCGAATCCAAATTGATATCTCATTACAGCTCACCATGTACCCCAATCGCCCACGTCTTATCCGCTTCCAAGACTGCAACAAGTACGACTCTTGTATCTCAGGCAGAGCTAATGCTTAATCATGGTCGTAGCGTTGAAATCACCGAAATTACTCTCTGGAATTCCCCCATGTTCCACGTCACAATCATTGGTGAGCTCTTCGACTAGATCCCGCTAATGCGTGTTATACTAACGGAGCACTAGGCGACAAGTCAGTCTATCGACTGATTCTCATTGACTTGATTCTAATCACTTCCTCAGTAACCTAGCACACGATATGGCGATCCATGCCGACCATATTGGTCTGTTGTTTTACTTTTACTTGTATCTTCAGCCTCTTATTTTCCTGGAAACTCATAGGTGAGACGGACGGGTTCGATATAAGTGGTAACAACAACGAGGTGTTTTCTGTTACGGTGGAGGTGAGCTTTCTTCCGTTCTTTGGAATAGTCTATTCTGATTGAAATATCGCAGAACGGAGGTATGCACTCTATCCTTATTTTGCTCATGGTATTCATTCGTCTTCGACACGTAATACAGACGAGTGTGTTACAGTGAAGACTCCGACCAATGTTAGTATACGTCTACCCTTTATACAAAGAGGTTGTATGATTGACCGCGCCACAGGGTTTTACTGCCACAGATATTACTTGCTTGTGGACTGCTGGTGAGCTGTAGTTTTATGATTATCGCAAGATCAATAATAACCTATCAATATAGGATGCAATATTGGATCTTTCGGCTCTGGCGCAACAGGCGTTGACGTCCAGGTCAGTTTTTGTCCGTTTAACCTCAATGTACACACTTAATCGTTTTGTAGAACGTCTTCTACAGCGGCGTATCAGTCTCAAATTCTGACGCCGGCATCATGATTAAGAGTTACCCCAATTGCCAAGGAACTGTGACCAATATCACCTATGAAGACTTCACATTTGTAAGTTTTATACCTACATTATGCGGATGTCTTACTGAAGCACCTACAGGATGCTGCAGCATATCCTCTCTGTAAGATTCTTGAATGCGCATGTTGCCTTGGTGCCTAACACAACTCTTCACTATAGACATTAGCGCATTCTGGGAGGTATGGTTGTTTGACTATGTTCTTCAGGTCTCATTTTGACATTTACCAGGGCGGAACTGATGATACCGGAACCTTGGAAATCAGCGATGTGACCTTCAATAATATTAAGGTGGGTCCTTTCGGTGGATAAATTTTAGCAGTTGCTTATCCGACCTCTAGGGTACCGGAACGCCTACTCGACCTGCTGTACTTTTGGATTGTAATAAAGCTACTCCGTGCAAAGACATCACGGTAAGTCAAGACGACAGTGTCAAGTTTCGCGATCCATCTCACTAGAATTACACAGTTCATCGACATTGATATCACTGGTACCATCGCCGACGAGTTCACCAATGCTTGCGGTTCTGGGGTGTCTGGTTTGGAAGCTTGTTAAATTATTCTATTTAGTTTGATCAATAATATAAGCGGCACCCTCATATACCCATCACTCAATGCGTATGTACATTGGCCGCACGGCGGTTCTGGACGAAAGTTGGAATAAACTGAGATTTTTTGTGCTGTGGAACATCAACAGAATACTTTCGTAAATAACGTATGCGCGCTTCAAGAAATACAAGCATGCATGACTATATAATTAATTTTTAATAATTATACATCCTCATACTACACATGCTTAATTCCCGTCGTTACGGCACTGAAATTCACAAAAACAAGTTAGCCCTTTTTTAAAACAACAATACCAGAAAGACAAGCGAATATCACTCACACAAACTGAAATAACATCACTTCCGCACACTCCCGAATTTGGATCTGTACGACAGGCATAGCTGGAATCGAGTGAGTAATAAGGATTGATGCTCAAATATTTTCAACTCACATTAGCCCGGTGAAGGTATTGGTATATTGGTCGAATAAAATCGGAGGAGGACTGCACTCAAAGATCCCTTGATCGCAGGGGTTACCAGTGGTCGTAAGACCATCAACAACGTTGCAA